TATGTAACCATTCTTAGCGGAAATAACCGCCCTACATAATGTTGGCATTTTTCAACTTTTCCAATTTGTTAAAGACAGTTTTTTGCTTCACACTGTTAAGTTTTTTCCACATTTTTTGGATCATTAGGGATTTAATTCTTGACATTTCTTTTTAATTTATCCCATAAATGTTTGACAGGAGAGAGAGGTGATTAAAGAGGACAAATAGTTTTGTTCAGTATTTGATCATTCTCTCAGAAAATTTCTACAAAGTTTTAAGCAATGCTTCAAGTTGTTATCTTCTTGAAAAATGGTTTCCCAATATTCTGACTTCCCTAAGGTATAACATGGCTTTTGTCAAAAATGCACTTTTTAATCTTTTTTTTTTTTTTTTTTTTTTTTTTTTTTTTAAATGTGACTTGTGGTATTCACACCAAAACAGCCCCACAATATAACAACATCTCCACCGTGTTTCATAATTAATAAGAGGTTTCATGTTTTATATGATTTAGCAGGCAGGATTCATGCATGCAGGACAAAGTTAAAACAAAGTAAGTGTAAACGTGTTGTTACAGCAAAATCTAGGACAATACTATAGAGGCTACTAATTATTTTTTGTTTAAAATATTTTTTAATGTTAACATATATAGTATTATTATTTTTACTATTATCATAAATAGCATTTATAATAAGTAGTTAGTTATGAAAGTTATACGGCATACACGATATATATTTATATTTATATATCAAATTATATAATAATTATTAGTTTATTTATAAGAAACTTTCAGTTTTAAAAATAATTTTTTTTATTATATTTATATGGGTTGGTTTAGATGGTAAGTAATCAACGACATCAAACATTAGACGACCAAGAAAATGAAGATGAAGAAAGACATAGTTCCTTTTCCGACAATAGCAGCGATGATGATATAGTTGATGAAAAAAAAGAACCCGCTGATAATAATCAAAGTTGTGAAAGTGGTATGTGCAATTTTTATAAATCAATTGTGTTTATATTATATATTATTGATAATATAAAATTATATTTAATATTTTTATATTTATGTTTAATATTTTTGAAATGTTTAACAAATCATATTGATTTGTTAAACATTTCAAAGCAATGTTGTTTCTATAATTGTTAATAAAAACAATTAAGACTAAACTCAAATAAAAGTTTAATCGTGTAAATTTAAAAAGTAAAAAAAGTTATGAATTTTTAAATTATGTCTAAGGTTTGTTAGATGTTACTACTAACATAATCTAATGCATTAGATACCTTTTTTTTTTTTTCTTCATGTTTTAGATAAAAATCATTAGAAAAAAATTTCTTCTTTCTGATGTTTGGTTTAATAAGATAAAATAAATTAATTAATAAGTTTGAAAAAAAAAGTAACAATAATATAGAAATAAATTTAATTTAAAAAACATTGCAGAAAACATGTTTTGAAATTAAAAAAAGAGTCAAGTACCATGGTTTTGGTAACATTACTTAATTTCTAATTGATCCTTTTTTTTTTTTTTTTTTTTTTTTTTTTTTTTTTTTTTTTTGCCTTTATATTCTCCATTGTTTAATCTTTTAAACACATCTTCTGACCTAAGTCACTCCCCTCGAAAATGTATTTTTATTTTATTTTTGTTTTGTGGTTGATAACTGTTATTTTTTTTTGTCTCATTTCTAATAAAACAATTTTTATATGATATCGATTGTTAGTTGTTTTTCTATTGTTTAAGTTTTTATCTGCTAATATCATAACTTCTTGTGAATCATTAATAAAATTTACGTCAGTTTTGTTCTGATCACTGACATTGTGTCTGAAGTGAAATCTTTTAAGTGAAATAATTGCAACTGTTTGTTATTAGAAAGCAAAAAATATATAAACTTTAGAAAGAGTTAACTTATCAGATGTTATAGCAGATGGATCTAATAGAAAAAGGCTAGTATTAAGGTTGGTAGTAATATTTCACGAACTCTGTAATAGTTCTCAGAGAGGCTGATTCCATCAACAGCTGCAAAATATCAAAATATTAACAGTAACATGTTGCGCATGGATGGTGTCCCTGCTAATTCTTTTGGTGTGCATTGTTTTTTGGTGTGCAGGCCACATAAGGAACCCTATGTTACAATTTAGGGTTAATTAACAGGACTGATAAAACTGCATAGTTCATTGGTTAGGAGGCTGTGTTCTATCTATGAGTGTCAATTTTTGTATAAACTTAAATCATGCCAAAAGTTCTTTATTGTTCTCCTTTTTTCCAAGACTGCACTCTTTTAGTTTTATGTAGTTTCTGATCAAATTGATCGTGCCCTCTCTTTTTACCCCTCTGCAAATATTTTTGTTATTGGTGACTTTAATGCTCATCACACCAAATGACTTGGGTCTAATTCCACTGACCCTGCTGGCACTAAACCTATAACTTCTTCATTTCTCAATTTCTTACTCATATAGTTAACTTTGTGACTTAATTTATAGACAACCCTAATCATTAACTTTCACTCCTTGATTTATGTCTTGTCTTTTACTCTAGCTTGTATTCTGTTTCTCCCTTAGGTAATTCTGACCATGCGATGACTCCTATAAATCTTTAATCTCAAACTTCTTTTTGGACTCACCCTATCATCTCACTACTTACTACTATCCTAAAGCTGACTGGGATTCTTTTGTGATTTCTTTTGTGATGGATCTTGGGTTGATGTCTTTTCTCCCTCAGTTGATGAATGCGCTTCCTGTAATGTCCTAGATTCAGGCAGGTTTGGAAATGGAATGGAAGCTATTATTCCTTCTTGTTGGTTCCAAGTCAAGTCATATAATTGTAGTACAATAGGTTTACTTTAAGTAACTTCTACATCCAATTCATGTGAGATAAGTCTCATTCTTTTACTGTATCTGTCCCTGTATGCTCTAAAAACTTTTGTTTGTCTTTTTCACCGCACTTCAACCCTTTGCAACTCCGATCTTTATGTTTTTCTGACTCATACAACCTACAACTTTTCAAGTCTTCTATCAACCGTTTTCTTGCTCTATAACTTTATTCTTTTTTTTTGCTTACAGTCTTGTTTTGTGTATTAGAATTAAAAAATAAAAGCCTTGTTTTTGTATTAGAATTAAAAAAAAAAAAGTTGTGAACAGTGCTGTAGAAGTTATGGACAGTGCTGTAAAAGATGTTAACAGTGCTGTAGAAGATTTGAACAGTGCTGTTGAAGTTATAAACAGTGCTGTATAAGATGCGAACAGTGTTGTGGAAGTTGTGAACAGTGCTGTAGATGATGTGGACAGTGCTGTTGAAGTTATAAACACTGCTGTAGAAGATGCGAACAGTTCTGTAGAAGTTGTGAATAGTGCTGTAAAAGATGTGGGCAGTGCTATAGAAGATGTGAGCAGTGCTGTAGAAGATGCAAACAGCGCTGTAGAAGATGTGGACAGTGCTGTAGATGATGTGAACAGTGCTGGCAAACGTAAAATAGTTATATGATTTTTAACTGCTTTTTAACAGTTTATTTTTAGAAGTTTTTTTTGTCCAAAACTTGTTTTTCTTATTAAAGATAAGCATAACAGGTTTCTGAATATCTTTTCAACCATATAACATTATGGTAAAAGTATTCAGTAAAAGTGTTTGCTTCAATATAATCATTTTTAACACACCTTATAACAAAAGAACATTTGGTCCACCAGTTATCCATTCTTTTCACAAAAACAAAATTTATTATTTTAAAAAAAAAAATCTCTACTTCAAAACTAAAACTAAAGCTAAGTAATAATAATATATATACATTTCAAAAGTATATAATGGATGAAGCACTAAAAATCTCTTGATGGAAATGCTTGCCTTGTTCCTTTCAGTAAGCTTCCACGTTTTCCTTGAATTTATTGGGATAAGTGTTAAGATTATGGATTTTGTGTGACGTTTTGCATCCCATTTGGCATATTTTTTTAATGAGAATCTGAACCATCTCCGTGTAGTTTTCAGTCTTGTAATTATCGAAGAAATCATAATTAACTGCAACAAACTGTTTCAAGCAGGTCTTTCCTTTCTGTTCAGGAGCTTGTTTATTGTTAGGCAATGTAATCGATATTGTGGTTGTAATGTATTGTCAGGTAACTTTTCAGCTTGATAAACTGAGATATATGCCGGACTTTGTTATGATAATTTTTTCTGTACTTGGCTCTTGGAAGTATAGTTGGAATTAAATATGGAACATTTACTTATGCATTTTAAACTCTACAGGGGTTTGGATGTACTATTCGTGAACCAAATGAGTTTTTTCAATCTCATTCTTTGTTTTAGTTCTGAAAAAAATTAAAAACAGCCTTTGAAAGTACAAAACCTTTGTTTTGAAATCATTTCCGATTTTTTTAATTTTTTATTTGAAATACTAAAATCAACAAAATATTAATTATTTTTGTCTTAATAATTTTTACGATAAAAAAACTGTATAACTTTTTATTTTATGATACAAAGTTCTGTCTTATTTAAAACTTTGATTAAAGAATATATATATATATATATATATATATATATATATATATATATATATATATATATATATATATATATATATATATATATATATATATATATATATTTAGTAATTTCTAATATCGATGATTGTGAATCTGAAAGTTCTGAATCTGAGTCCGATGAAAATCTAGAAAATTACCACACGGATAATAGAAATCATCGACCTTATAGAGATGCAAAAAAACTGAAAGAGATATCTAATACAACTTTAGTGAAGTTGAAGGTACAAACTCAAGAAGACATTAAAGAAAAGGTAAAAAAAATTGTTTTAAGTAAAACTCAAAAAGACAATCATCGTAGAAAAGTTAAAAAAGGTGAATCGTCTGTATCGACAAAACTTAAACAAGAAAATCGTTTTGTCATAAAAGATAGTCTTGGTGAATGACATTTTATTGGTTCTTAAAATATACTGTTTGAGACTTTGTTGTTCATCTCTAATCAACAAATTCGTTAAAAAGATAATGAATTCGTTATTAAATAAAAAAAACTTTGTATTACTATTTGTAGTCAATAAAGAAGTATCAATAAAAAATAACTCCTTATACATACAAAAAATACGCAATTTAAAACATAATCATATTAAAAATGTAAATGTTACAATTGCAAAATTTGGTTTCCATATATTTATAAAATTGCACTACAGTTAGGCGATTGCCGCATACAAGCATGCAGCTCTCTCTGTGAAATTTACTGCACCTCCCTACTTGGTTGAATCTACAGCTACGCGCAACTCTAAATTTACATTATTAATTCAAAAAATGCGCAACAAATACTAAAAGTAAACATTGATAATATATTTTTTTAACTTTTATAATCATATAATAATAAAATTTAGCTTTTATAATAATAGACAACGTTTGGTCGTGGAACATTTGAAGAAGATAAATGGTTTAATAAAGTTATATATCAGTCACATGACTGATATACAACTGTAATAAACCATATTTACAAAAAGTCTATGTTTTTATTATATAGTTGTTTTTCCTCGAGTATTTATTTGTATCTTGAATATTAACCGTGTTTTCGAGTATTTGTTTCTCTGAAGCCTGATTGCGCATTACGGTAGTAATAAGTTAGATTACGTCATTAAGGTCCTAATATTTGTTTTCAAAGCCTGTATAACAAATTTGCTATACCTTTTTATTTATTTCATAAATCAGTTTTTGCCCGAGTTCTACAATCTTTTAATCCTATCCTGTCCTTTACAATATTTTAATCCTAAGCTCATTAAAAAGTTGTTTAAAAGAAAGCAAGAAATGCATACAGAACTTTTTGGAGAATAATTTAATGAGAGTTCATTATTGAAAAACCATTTCAACCTTATTGAATTCAGAATATTTTCTGTCAAAGGTGTATAGTCTAAGTAGGTGCTTCAGTTACGTGACAAATTCCGTAGACAAAGTTTTCGATATCTTTTAGGGTTTATTATCGAAATAGCAATTTTCGAAAATTTTCGATTAAAACGTTATCGAAATACTTCTTTTTTTTCGAAATCTAAAAAAACTTCCGAAAATAATCGAACTAGCCTTATTAATTTCGAAAAAAAAAAGTAGTTTAGAAATGTGAAATTAATTTCGAAAGAAAAAGGTGGATTTCGAAATAGGAAATTTATTTCGAAAAGAAAAAAAGAATTTCGAAATGTGAAATTAATTTCGAAATAAAAAGGTGGATTTCGAAAAGTAAAATTAACTTCGAAAGAAAAAAAAGAATTTCGAAGTGTGCAATTAATTTCGAAAATAACCAAAAGATATTTGATAAGCTAAATTAATTTCGAAAATGAAATTATATTTCGAAAAGTTTAATTTATTTCGGAAAAAAAATTTTTTTTTAGAAAGTTAAATTTATTCCAAAAAAAATAACGTTCAATTAGCGCTATAAATTTTAAAAGCATAACTTATAAATGCAATTTTAATACCTTAAGTTTTATTTGCGTAATAATAACCGGATACTAAATACTAGAATACTAAATAACCGGGGGCCTAATTAATTTACCATATATATATATATATATATATATATATATATATATATATATATATATATATATATATATATATATGTATATATATATGTTTCGCAAAAGAATACTGTTTTGGTAAATTTATTTCGGCGCCAGCATGTTTAGTATGTAATGAATCTGTTTTAGAGAGCAGAGAATTTAATGAGGCACCATGATTCATAACATTTAAAAAACTTCACCAGTTTCTTTTTTTTTTTCAATTGTTATCTTTTTCTTTGCCGTATAATAAAATTTACAATGAGGAAGGCCCCTATTTATACAACAAAATAATACCTCAAAATATAGAACTTACTAAACTGGATAATCTTATTGCTCTGAAGAAAAAACTAAAAGATCTCATAATAGCTGTTCCAACGTTGTTATACGGATTAGAACTGTGTGGAAGTAGCAATAAGCTTCTAAATAGCATTGATATAGCTGGACGATCTGTCTTAAAATCCTTCTTTAATATTTCAAAGCAAAGTAGAAATTATCTACATTCTTATTTCAAAGTAGACGCTGTGTCAGACATTCTTTTTCGCAACAAGTTAAATCTATTTATCAGGCTTTTAAACAACCCCATATGTTACTCGATTATACGGACTCAGATGCCTTTAATGAATCAACGATCATTTGTGGGTGAGGTAATGATAATGTGTAAGAAAGCTGATATAAACATGCTCCAATTTATGATCGAGGGTAAGAAAATTATAATTGCACGCCCTCAGGAAGCATTGGAGGCCAATGTTGCGGCGATCTTAAAACAATCGTTCCAACACTGGAATTTAAAGGAACAAAGAGAAGTATTTAGAACGCTGATGGAGGAAAACATTCCAAGAACGATGCAAGAAAATACTTAAATGTGCTTTGTTTTTTTTAATACTTTTACCTATAGTTTATGTAATTATTGGGTGTTTAAAAGAATAAATATATATATAATTAACAAAACCATTTTTATCGATATGTATTAAATATAAAAGAACAATTTAAGCTATAAAAATAAATAAAGAAATAAAAAAGAAATAAAAACTAAATTAAAATAAATATATAATACATATAGTTAGCAACTATACATAGTAAAATATTACTGAACAGATGACTTCATGTTTAGAAGAATTTTATCTTTAATAATGTTTTTTAAAAAACTTTTCCATATAAATGGTCCACTGTATTGAATTTGAAATGAATTGAGTTTTAAATAAGATCTTGGAATAACAAAATAATCAGTTGGGTTTAATAAGATATTTCTGCAAAGTGAGAGTGAAATATATGAGATAACGCATGTTTTGATTTAAACGTAAAAAGCATAACTTGGTATATATTAAGTTTATAAACATTAAGCACATTAAGTTTCTTTAAAAGAGATTCATCATTAACAGTTCTGTTAACGCCAAATATAATCCTGCATGCATGTTTTTGTTTGCTATAAATATTTTTGAGCTTCCCATAATTGGTACTTCCCCATGCAAGATTACAATAGGAAAGATAACTATGAATAGGGGAAGTCGGGGTACAGTGGATCGAGGGGCACAGTGAATAAGAAGCATTTTCTCAAAGATTATGATTTTGTTCACCACGATGATGTAATCAGTTTATGTGCGCATATATCACCCATCTTTATTTATAGGTGTTATAACATAATTTTTGACTCTCGGTTTTTGGTAGGTAATTTTTGTTTTTAGCTAACTAAAGTAAATGTTCTTACCATCTTTATGTTTGTTGTGGAGATCATGGTTAAAATCATTTTGCTTTTCCTTTAATAACACTCATGTCCCAAGAAATTAAACTTGAACCTTATTTTTTATGGTGGGACACAATGAATCGGGGTACCGTGAATCGGTTGATTTACTGTGATAAAAATGTTTATAAAAATTAAAATGTTTATAAAAATTAAAAATTCACTTTTAAAAATTTCTTTTGTTGTTGGTTAAATAAGTTTTATTCGGTAAAAATTTTTTTTGTGATTTTAGATGGCTGCATAATTTTTGTTATCAATAAAATTTATTCTTTATTATTTCAATCGGAAAAAATTTAAATTATTTAATTTTAATTACCAAAAGTGCGCCAAAAGTATTCGTACTATATATATAAGTATATTTTCACCCTCATCCTCATTGATGAGGGTGTAAATATACATATAAGTATATAAGTATATTTACACCCTCATCAAAATTATTTGGCTACGCCCCCATTAACTACCACTAAATTGCAGATGTGTTAATTGATTCACTGTACCCCAGTACTGGGGTACAGTGAATCACTTAACACAACTTACTTTAAACCTTTCTGTGAGCTGTTAGATAATAAATATTTAAGTTTTAGTGATTTCTTATCATGAAAGACATATTTCTCAATCCTTTAGCCTTGACAAAGATAAAATATATATTTTAACTTTCACTCAAATTAAAAAAGAAAGAAATCCGACCCATTGTGCCCCAATTCTCCCAAAATGAAAAATATATAATTTTCAAAAACTCCATATTAAAAAAAATTTAACTTTATACAGCATTGAAGTATTTTTGGAGATTTTATTTTCAATAGATTTAATATGATATTTCCATGATATATTTTTATCTATAATCACTCATAGAAAGGTAACAGTAGACTCTCTTTTAATAACTTTTTTGTTCATAAAGATTCTCGTCAAGTTAAGGAAAGATAAAACAATCAAATTTATAATTAGTTGGTTATACTACAAGATTTCTTAAAAAAAAGCAATATCATAACCGTAAATGCTACTGTTGCAAGCTATGAAATTAGTCTTCCTTAGTTACAAATTCTAAACCATTCAGTGACGGGGAAAGCTTATTTAAATTTACGAATTATTCACACACACACTTTCCTCAATGCATTTTTTGTGCATTTAGTTGGCAAAAATAACCCTTTTAAAAGAGTCGGTAAATGTAGACCTTTTAGACAGGTCAGTTGTTGAATTTCAAAAAACAAGGACCTAATTTTTTACTCAACAAAAATTTTAATGACACCCCACACGTCACACCTACTTGCACCTGCCCTTATCGAGCTCAATGATTGGATATTGGTGTTTTTTCCAGAATGGAAATGAATATAGCAGAAAACATATTGTCATTAATCAAGCTGTTTGTAAAAAATTAATTAAGCTGTTTGATAAAAAAAAAAAGAATACAAGTGCTTTGAATTACTAAGATTTAAAAAATATACTTTTATTAAAATATAATTTAATAAAGAAATGTTTTTGATTACTAGTTTTCTTTAATAAAAACTAACTGCTTCAATAAGCTCGGTGCAAGCCTATTCCATAGCTCCGTATCTATTAAACCGGTTGAACTAAATAAGCATTCTGATGGCACGGATGTCGCTGGAACTGAAAATATTATCAGTGTCAAAACCGGGAACAATTTTTGATTAGCTTAGAAAAATTCAATGGCACTATTTTCGTAGCTCTGAAAGTATTGCAGGCCGTAATCACTTTTTCAAGTTTATCATTTCTCTCAATTAAATTACAACAAGATTTATCTG